TAATTGATAATTTTCATGTAAAACAAAGTCAAACGAACACCAAAAAATACTTTTATTTCAACATTTTCCACATGAAAAATTATACCTATCAAGCACAATAATTGACAATTCCCAATAAAACAACTTCTAGGTAATTCAATTCCTTGGAATTCGTTTTTTTCCACCCAAATTTCATCTTTGCAATAAAACGACCCTAAATTTCACTAACATTGTTGAGAAAGTAATAATTTCTTCCCTGAACTGTTAATTGCCTCTTGACTGTTTTTTGGTGAGTCTTGGTGATAGTTATTTTGCATAATTGTTATTATCATGCAGTTCTTTCCCACAGCTGAAGAGTCTATTGATTATTACAATCAGAAAAGATGTGTAGATGGGAAAGGGCTTGTTCTGCCTAGTCAGATTGTGAGTAATTGTTTATACTGTTTTCAACATACATATATTTTTTTTTCTTGAGAGTCCTACATCTGATGAGTGTTCTTTTGTCAGCGATATGTCAAGTATTTTGAACGCATTTTGACATACTTCAATGGAGAAAACCAGCCTGGGCGCAGGTATTGAGGCTTTGATTCGTATTTAAAACTCATAAGTATCCTTCCTTATAATGTAGTACAGGTGAATCGGATATAAAAATGAACTGAGCATGATACAGGAAGAACATGGTTTTTCTAGTAGATTGTCAATTGATATTGAGTACCATTGTTGCAGGTGCATGCTTAGAGGCTTCCGGCTTCATAGATGCCCCTACTGGATCAGACCAACCATTACAGTATCTGATCATAATGGTAAATTGCATCTTTGTTTTTTTTATCTTTATCTCACATAAGCATCTCTTTTTGGGCTGCTCTACTTCCTTATTTGTCTTCTAACTTACATATATGTTATTAACATGCACATTGGCATAATATCTCTACTTTCACTTGATTGTTTTATTGATATTTCGTCTTGTGTCATCTTTATTCACTTTTGATTGTCCTTCATGTGCATTTTATAATTGCAATATTATCTAGACACGTGCTTTGCTCATTGCAGGATTGCTCTTTTCAACCAAAAAGCATCCAAGAACCAAGGATCTGTCGGTACGTTAATATCATGGGTCTGCAAGTAGTGATGTTCTCTTAGCTATTAATTTGGGCAAGTATTATTTGTTTGGACATAGAGATAGGTGAACTTGATATACAGATTGTGGAATGGCGGTTTATCTTAGACAATATTCTGTGCCACCAGTCTTTAGGATAAATGAAAATTTTCAACAGTTTTTAAAGTTATCTATATATGCGGCCAAGGACTTAATGGCATGGGCTTCTATTCCAAAAATAACTTTTGATAAGTAATAATGTATTTTATTTCGATTAATATTTTCCTTGTGTACTAATTATCATATGTTGAAGAATTTCTATTAACCATAATTTGAAACTAAATGGTAGCTGGAGTCTTTCAGTTGGATTTATTCATTTACACCTTCATTTCTACCAAATTTAATATATAGCATAAATTTATCAAGTTGCATGCCACATTCTACAAAATCAAAATCAGTTATTGAAGAGAATTAAAATTTTGTTTACTTATAAGTGAATTTTATGTATAATTTACGAATTAGTTACAGCCGAGTTTACTGGTGGAAAAGCATTCAGGTAGCCGCTAATTTATTGAGGACAAGGCTTAGTTTGTTGTTGTTATCAATTAGCTACGATTAATATATTTTTAGATGGCTCCTAATAAACATATATATAAATATATATTTATTTATCATATCATTTTTTTGTTTTATTTTTATACGCTAGTGTTTTGAGGTTGTATAATAGCTATTTCTCCATATGATGCGCTTTTATATTTGTTAATGTCCAATCTGATGTCTAAATAATATACTAAATTATAAATTTTTTGACTTTGAGTTGGGATCGATTGTCATCACTGAACTCACCAACAGTAGTTTATTTTTAGGGTTATTGACTGCTATAACTTCCATGTTGAGCCTTTGGTGGATCAGAGTATTAATAATTATATGCCCATTTGTTGAGCTTTTGGGATATTTAAGTCCCGAAGAAGTTTAACATAGTATTCTTTGGGGTTTTTCTGCAGCCTGAAGATTTTTGGTTTAGTGCACCGAAGAAGGGGATAATGGTTTTTGCTCTTCCTGGGGAGCCTGGACTGACAGAGCTAGCTGGCGATTTCAAAATACACTTTCATGATCGCCAAGGAGACTTCTATTGGTATAATAATAGACAATTATACCGAAGTATTTTTGATAAATGCATAAATAAATTATCTATCTTCCCTTCCATTACAAAAGCTGGTCAGAGGAAGATTTCCTTGCTTTTGTGTTGTTTTTTTCTGTATATTAACAGCTTGTTATGGTTTTGTTTGTAATATCTTACTTTTCTTGATTATCAGCTGGTTGAACACTACAATGATCGAAAATCGCAAAGTACTAAACACTAGTGATCTTGATGGGTTTGACAAGGTAAACTTCCTTATTTTGTGCATCACTCTACATCAGTTGCCATTGAGGCCCTGGAGTTGTGGCAAATAAGTGCTGAGGTTGTGAGGATGAGAGGTTCTTAATTCAAGTACCTCCACTGGGGTGACTTATTTGGTGAAATTTACTGTTGATATTTTCATATCTCCCTCTCTGAGCTTCTTGGTCTAACTATAATTATGGTTCTTCTACTGTTATCACCAAGACTCCAAAATAAAACCAACAGTAAATTAGTAATGGCAAAAGAAGTTAACCTTGATATTTCCAGTCACTTGGACTTTGCTGTTACCTCTCCGTTCAAGTTTTGCGTTTTATATGGCTTATTTCAAATTATTGGTTCGTATGCTTTTAGCCACAGCATATTTTATAATTTTTCTTTCTGGACTTCTGCACAGAGAAAACTACCATCCCCGGGTTTCCAAGTTGAAGTTGTGCTCGTGGATTATGACTCTGCTGTTCCAGCAGGACCTCCTTCAGAAGCCACTGCTAGTACACCGATTGAAATTTCGGGTCCTCCTACACCTGTTGATGAGGCTGCAGCTGCAACAAACTCGAACAAAGACTCTGGAAATCAAGAGAAAGATGATGTGTTCTCTGACATTGAGGCCGAGGAAACTGGGTCATCGAAAACTAGGCAAACTAAAGCAGCTCCTGAAACTAGTGGAACAGATAACACAACAGCTTCTCGTCCTGACAATAAACTCGACCTGAAGCAAGTTGCAAACTTGGCAGACAAGGCAGAGAAAGTCTCCTTAGGAAATGCAGGGTCTGTACCTACTCAGCCGAAGAAGGATGTGGTTGAAAACTCAGCAGGAGTGGTAAGTGAGTTCAAGGCAATGGCTGCTGATGCATCTGTTTTCTCATTTGGAGATGATGAGGATGATGAAAGTGATTAAAGGTACTTGATACTCACGATGTATTTGCCCGAAATCCGTATATAATACTTGTGAATATCCAAAAATCTTGTTTTCGACACCTTAAACGTGTCATTTCTGTTGGACGATCGATTTCTTTGAAGTCGAGCTGGATCTATCAACTATGGCTGCCTAACTCAAAGGTTACTGTTGATTATATTTATTTCTTTAATAAAGTGTTGGAAATGTGTTTGTTTTAACTCATCATGCAGTATCAATTTGATATGAAATTGTAAGTCCTAACTTGGATCCCTTGACACTGAAATCAAATTGCTTTTTGTTTTTTACAAGTGGCCCATGTGCTGGTGTGAGCTACTAGGAAATTGAGTTATGCTGAGTCAATGATGCACCAAATGAAATTCTGACTTGGTTTTGTTCTGAAATAATTTATTGGCAAATTTTGAAAGAGTCTTATTTTAATGGTACATTTATTACTACTTTTTTAAAGTTATAAAAAGTACTTCTCCAATTCATTGTCTTCATTGATACTATGGTCCCACCCCCTTTCCCACTGCCCTCTCCGTCCCACGAGGAACGTGTTGGAAGGAAGAGGTGCAAACGTGCAGCACGGGAAAGATGAAATGGTAAATATATTTTATGTGAATTTCTTTTTTTTTTTCATGCCCTCCCTCTAATTTAGGGCTTTCTTGATATAAATTTTTGGAGAATAAATTTTGAAAAGTGAATTTTTTCGAAGAATGTGTAATTTAAAGTCGAAGAAAAGTTGTGGGTTCATATACAGAAATATTTTATTTGAGAAAAATTTGTGATTGAAAATGAATTTGAGGAAAAATGAATTTTAAAGACTTTGAGTTTAGTCTTTAAAGACACAATTTCCTGATTCTTACGCTGTGGTTGTCTGGATATTGGGGTGTGAGTCAATTCTATAGATGAAATGAAGCACCAAGTAGAATTTGACAAGCATGAAAAGTTGTATTTCTTTTCTTTTCTATTTATGTTATAAATTATGGAAAAGTTGTTGATCACGTGAAATATACGATTAAAATTAATTATTAATTTTGACTTGATTTTTTATTTAATTTTAATCTACATTAAACAGTGGATTAATTACAAATAAAATGGTCACATAGATAATGAGTGTTGATGAAGAATAAAGAGGATACAAAATAGTTAGGTTGCAAAACTACTTGTTACATTCAATAAATTGCGGATCGCTATTATATGTAATGTTATTCATAGTCACTCACTGCGGTAGTCGTCATGCGTGGTGACACCTACGTGGCATTTTGTGATTTGATGTATTAATGTGTTAATTTTTTCTTATCTCATATATCAAATCACTGATTGTCACATGTATGTCATATAGGATTACTGCCATAGTATTGACTGCAAATGACATTGTTATTTTTTTAATATTATTTCAGAATCTTTTAAATAATAAGATGAATTTGAATATTCTATAACTAGTTGCATTTGTAATTATGTTGTCAACTAGAAGTCTTAAAAGAATATGCAAGAGATTGTACCGTATTCCTCTCTCTAGCGATAATGGAGGCTCTGATTGTTACCACGTGACCAACTGTGTCCCAGTTTAATCAGTTCACGCGTATTCAAAAGTCGTTTTCATTTTTTTTTCAAAAGTCATTTTTAATTACTTGTCTTTGCATAAAATAATATTACATTTAAATTAAAAAAAATTTCTTATCAATTCGAATCCTCTCAGGGCCACTGAGGTGAGTACCCGATCCTAAACTTTAAAACCCTGTGAAATTAGTCGAAGTGTGCTAAACTGGTACAAACACCCACAATCATAAAAAAAGAACAAAAATTTACATACATTCTTCCAAAATTACTATTTTAAAACACATTTTTCTTAAAATTTCATTTTTAATGGAGCCCAAACAAGGGCTTAGGCCTCGTTTGGTAGCCATTTTTTTCAAAATGCATTTCTCTCTCTTCTTTTTAACCACACATTCTTTATTAAAATAATATTACACGTAAATTAAAATCTTTTTCTTATTTTTTAACCACACATTTCACATCAATTTACTATTTTAAAATGTATTTTTACATAAAATGACTATCAAACACCCTCTTAGTGTGTTCACGAATGATATCTTTAAAAATGAGGTTTCGAGTTTTTAATTAGTTAGAGCCTATCCGGGATTGATTAAAAGCAAATTTTTTTACCGTTAGAATTTCAGCAGCAGCCACAATTATAGACACATTTTCTAAAATTACCAATGTACCTACTATGATTTTATACTTGCCCAACAATGAAGGGCATAAATGACAATTGGTAATAACATTGTATGCTTTTGAATGGTCAAATGTTGTTGGCGTGTCAGATTTGCTAGAAATGGTCCCCATTACAACGGTAATAAAATCAATTGTTGGAGAAATAGCCTTTTTGGGAGGGATTTTTTTATTCCAAAAAATTAGGGCTCGTTTCGTAAGAATTTTGAGAATTGATTTTTTAACAATTAGAAAAAAAGTGGAGTCCACATGTGAGAGAAGAAGTCAAAAATTACAGCTTGAATAGTAAAATAACGGTCAAAAAATCAATTTTTTAGGACAAAAAATCCCTACCAAACGGGGCCTAATCTTTTGATCGTTATTTCATTATTTTAATCGTAATTTTCGACTTCTTCTCTCACAGATAGACCTCACTTTTCTTCTAACAATCAAAAAATCAATTCTCAAAACCCTTTCATATTGCTCCCTAATAGGGGCTTATTTTAATTTGTGAATTATGTCCCTACGTGGAAAACAAATGGTCAATATAGTCGTTGAAGTTGGATGATTCTGTGATTAGAGACGTTAAGTGTTTGGTGATTAATGTTGACATTGACGAATTCAGTGGGACTTAAATTTATTTTGAAACAAAAACATAAATTAACCAATTACGATTGACAACTGTACATCTATCATACTTTCTGTAAAAGAGCTTAATTCTAAAAAGAACATAATCCCGAAGACAGACTTTGTAGTTCGTTCTCTATATAAGGTGGGCTTTTGTTCTAGCTTAAAGAAACCTTCTTCAAATTTCTTTTCTACTTTCTCTTCCATGTCGATTTCTGGTATCCAAGGTCGAATTCTTGAAGTTACGGGTAAAGATTTCTCCCTTAATTTTCTTTCTTTTGTTGCGCATATATATATTTATTTAATATTTGTATAAGAATACAAGCACGTGATTAGTTATTGAGTTATCAAGTTTCTGGGGAGATGTTAATGTCCAATCTTGTCAACAAAAGTAGTCGCTATGTGAAATTTTAACTTAAAAGGGATTCTGTTACGATGGTAACTCAGTTTTAGACATACTCTCTGAGTTTTTAGACTCTGATTTTGGGTTTCATTTTAAAAGTCTAATCATATGTTGATTATTATTGTTCTCATTTAAGCTACATGGATTTTTACCTTAACTTGTTGGTATATTTTTTGGGGTTTTGCAGTTGTTGGTTGTACCAAATTGAAAGACACGGAATGGATTTCAAGGCAAGATCCCTACGTTTGTGTTGAATATGCTAGCACGAAATACCGTACAAGAACCTGTAAAGGTACTGGGAAATTGTATACTATATAATGATATGATGTTGGAAGGATTTAGTTCAATTACAATTCTTCTCAATCATTTGATTAGTTCAGAATTTTACTTTTTTTTGTTGAATTTTATTGTAGATGGAGGTAAAAATCCTACGTTTCAAGAGAAATTTGTGTTTACATTGATAGAGGGGTTACGGGAGTTGAATGTTTTGGTATGGAATAGCAATACCGTGTCTCATGACGATTTCATCGGCAGTGGAAAGTAAGCCCCTAAATCTCGTTCATGAATGAATTTTCTCTTTTATTTTTTGATGATTTTTTTTTTTCCTATGATTGATCTTGAATTTGTTGTATCTAGGGTACAATTGCAGAAAGTTTTGTCCAGTGGCTTCGATGATGGCTCTTGGCCACTTCAAACTAAAACTGGCAGGTGATCATCTACTAAAGAGAACGACACTATTGACCATCTTAATAGAGATATATATGCATATATGCACGTCTGTTTATTTATATATTTGTGTTGATTGCTTAGAAGTGGTTACGAAATTCATACCTTTTTGTTAACTTTTATGAAAGCGTAATTGGTGTAGATTTTGTCACACGTCTCGTTTTTTGTGGCTTAATACAACTGTTTATATAGATCACCATGGACGTTAAGTGAGAAGAACCATCTTGCATTTTGGAGCAATAGTTTGATAATTGGCAGTACTAGCCTCTTGATTCTAATCTTTGTGGTATTGTGAAGTCTTTTAGTTTTACATGGATAGCGTTGACCTCGTTTTTTGTAGTGGGGGCGTGGCCAACAGATGCTGGTTCCTCTCACGTCCATGTAGCTTCTTCTTGTACACTTGGGCAAACTGTTAAGAGTACAAAACTTTCTCCGCTGGTGGGGTCCGAGGGAGGCGGCCACGAGCGCTCCGACGATGTTTCGCTTGCCCTCTCATTCAGTTTTCATTTAGAACCCAGCTTCACCAATTTATCTCATTGTGGCCGCCCTGATGGAGATTATTGCTGGGCCACTCTCTGCAGGTTCACTCTGGTTGGCATCTTCGGATCTCAGGGTGAACCCAATTGTGCTCTTCAATTACTTTGGAAATGGAACAGTCGAAGATTTTTCATTGGAATCAAGTCTATCTATTTGTGAATAAGCATTTGGGTGTGGGATGTGCCAAATACGTGAGCCCAATATAAGAGTTTCAGATCCGAGAGTATGAATGTAGAAAGAATACTGTAAGAGTAAAGTTATAATTGATAGAATAAAATTGCATTAGCTTCAAATGACATAATATGTGAGCTTTTATAGTATGAAAGGTTAAATACTAACTGTTTGGTGAAGAGATCATCATCTGCAGTGCCTCATATTGTCTCGCCTCATCAATGAGGGTTTGGCCATGTCATATGAGTTCAACCTCTGCATATGCGTTTGGCCTTCCGTGGGGGTTCAGCAGAAATTGCCACATGGGCGGGATGACGTGGATTGTGGGCCTGGATTTGCTTACTACATGATGCCATGTGGCCATTCATGGAGCCTTGCTGGAAGAGGCGTAACTTACATATAGCTTATGGACCTCGGCTCTTTCTTGAGACCACAATATGATGAATGGTTGCAAGAGTTGAGGGCCACAAGAGCTTGCTGGAAGAGGCGTAACTTACATATAGCTTATGGACCTCGGCTCTTTCTTGAGACCACAATATGATGAATGGTTGCAAGAGTTGAGGGCCACAAGAGCTTGCTGGAAGAGGCGTAACTTACATATAGCTTATGGACCTCGGCTCTTTTTTGAGACCACAATATGATGAATAGTTGCAAGAGTTGAGGGCCACAAGAGCCCAGCCTCCATCAAATCTTATATATTTCTTAGTAACTAGCTTTGCTATTTTACCATAAAAACAAAATAGAAATAACTAGCTTTGTCATGACATCTGCACAGAAGGATTTCCCAGCACAGTATTTGTCCCTTGTGCGATTTAGATTCACTTTCTGGTCACCATGTGATTCAATCTGTGGGAACTGTAATGAAAGTACTAATGTGGGAGTTTGCCACTCTACTCTAGAACATCATATGCCATTTTGAATAACTACTACCCTCTACCTGTTCACACTATATTTTTAACTGATCATCCTGCCCCTTGATTATCAAAGTATCATTGGTAAGTATATTCTTAGAAGTGACTAGTTGACCAACAGATGAGAAATGTATTTGTTTGCTTGATGAATCTGATTGAACAGAGCATGCGGCACTTGCTGTATTGAGGTTACACTGCTGCTCCAGGTGGAGCGCCCCGAAGCCCCACCTTTCATTACATTGATATTGTGCAGAAAGAACTTTTATATTAGCTAGACACTTCTCAAGAAATTAGCATTTCCTGCTTTGTGCACCTTCATCTGACTTGGCATCAATGTTTCCTTGTAATTCTGCTTTACAAGTCTCCGAAATCTGAGTGTGAGGAATTGAATGAAATAATGTAGTTGGTGTGCGTAATTTAGGACTACAGACTCGTTATGCCACAACTTATGAGCCTATGATATCTTATAATGGCCTCCTAAAATGTTTCCACCACTACAATGTTAATTTGACAACCAATGGATTTATTGAAGTAGTATATCTTTTGACTGCTAATGTATTCCTTTCCTCTATAGGCATGCGGGAGAAGTTCGACTAATAATGCACTATGCTAATGCCAATGTAAGTTATAATTCTTCTTTCGTCTCGATATCTGAAAAAATAAAAATATTGTTTCACAATTCATATAATGAGAGATTTTGCAGTATATACTGCAGTCAAGATCATTATATCAGAAGTTTATAAACATTTCATTCTTTTGTTTTTCAGAAGCCAGCAACGGGCCATGCTCCATCAGCTCCCCCCGCAGTAGCTGCACATGTACCTCAAGTCCCTAATTTTTCAGCACCTCCTCCATTTGTATCTTCTTACACCCAGTCAACATCGGCTTACCCTGCACCAGCTCCTCATTCTTCCTACCCTCCTCACAATTCAGCAGGGTACCCGCCACCTCCATATTATCCTCCTCAGCAAACTCCTTATCCTTCACCGTATGCGCCACCTTCAACATACCCTCCAACATCCTACCCTCCGCCAGCACACGACCCACACTATTATCCTCCAGGTTAGTTTTATCGAGAATTTTAATTAAGGCCTTTCGTTTGTTTCTTTTTTATGGAAGTTTGATGCACTTACCAAGTATCATAATTTTATATAAATTCTTGCGGTGATGATGATCGATTCAACATCTGATAAAAATCTTTACGACCCTATTGTTCCAACTGAGAGAACCACCTTTGGGTTAAGGGGAAATTCCCTAATGAAAAACTTTAACGAAATCTTTCTTATTTTACGTTTTTCAAATCTATTATGTGATTGAAACTACTTCTATGCACTGCGTTTAATCAGGTTCATATCCTCCTCCTCCGTCGTATCCTCCACCACCATACTGAGACGAGCTCGCTGGAGCCTGGATGTGGATTGCTTAGAACAATAAAATAATCAGCTGTAGGGATGAGGAACTATTTGAATGGTTCTATCGAATTCTTGAGTCTGCTGTAAAAAAACTGTGTTTTCATGAAAACGGAAAAATGTACCAAGGCAATATTTTGAATGAATATTTTCAGTTTGCATGTTATTTGATTTTGAAATCGTATTCTGATGTCTGCTTGATTCAAAATAAATTGGCATGTCTTAAATATATGCACGCCAAGTGTGTTATTTGAAATGATGACACGGAGAAGGCTTGAATGATAAAAGAACTTATTGCCTTAATTAGAGTTGAACAACAAAATCGTCAAATCGAAATCGCATTTTTGAAATCGTTGATTTGGGACACCTAGATCCATCGATGTTTTGATTTTGAATTGAACTAAATCATTTTGAAGTGGGTTAGGTTTAAGTTTCAATATTTGTAAACCGTTTACAAAAATAAATTCAAAAATAAACTAATTTAAATTTTATCTAACTCAATGAAAATTAAATACATCGCAGTTAAAAATATACATCCTATTAGATATAATTCAATTAAATTCAAATAGATATTTATACATTTATTTAATTAATTAATCATCACAATTGTGAATGCAAAATTCTCAAATTTGATGATGAACAACTACTACAAAATCATGTTCATCAACTGTACATTAAAATCTAATAGACAATTAATTCTAAATTTTAATTCAATTCACAAATTTTATTTTATTTTTTTGAATTTCAACTAAATTTCCAGGTCAATTTATCCAAATTTTCTTATTTTTGGTAATTATTAGCTATATTTTATTGTTAGTTATATTGTTTTATTCTGATTTGTGTCAAGCTCCCTTAAATTTCAGAGGATAACATTTTTTTATTATTTATTTATTTATGTTTGTTTATGAAGAGAATGAATTTGTGTACTATATTCTTATCTTTATGAAAATAATGAAATGTAGTGCCAATTAATATAGACTGAGATGTTAAAATGTTTTTATTATGTTGTTGCATTATAATTAATAGAATTAAAGAGCCTTGGTTTCTAATATTTTTAATAATTTTATTCAAGTTTTAAAGTGAGTTTTAGATTAATATTTATGATTTAACTTATTCATCATATGTTATTTTTTTTGCTTTGTTAAACAGTGGTTTAAATTGAACTAAATTGGGAAAAAATATTAGTTTGATTTAGCAATTGAAATGATTTGATTTGAAAATATGTCACAATTTGTTCAAATCAAACCGTGTTCATACCTAACTTTAATAATTTTGTTGACTCCAAAAAGTGCGCCAACAGATGCCGGTCCCACCCGTGCTTGTGTGGGCGAATGTCCAACACACTAAGACACTTGAATGGTCTAAAACGAGCGGTTCAACGGGCGTGGGAGTAGCCCAACGACGCAGGACGGTGACGTTCGGAATCCGGATGGTTGTTCGTAATCCGATTGTACAATAATTACCAACCGGTGTTCATAAATGTATATGTAAATGTGTATAAACTCGATTTGTGTATTGCAAGTAAAATGAGAGAGAGTTGAGTAAATGTAGTTCTTTTTATTGATTCTTGCATTAGCCCTTTGATATTACACAAGGGAAGTATTTATAGTAGTACATATGAAATGGGAGCCCTTGGATGAAGTGGCACGTGGCCTCATCTCTTTAGTTCAAACATCTTTTCCTAGGTATGGGGTTTGACTTGCTAGCTTGCGGCACATTTATTGCTTGTGCAGGGCCTCCATGCTAGTGACAAGACTTGATCTTTATGCTTATGACAAACGTTCCATCAATCGTTCAAATAAGATCTGTGCAGACGATCTCTTGGGAGAAGTGACCATGGAGGATGTTTCCTTGTGGCTCAGAGGCTTGCGCATCAGTTTCGGGGCTTCGGCCATTTGTCATGATACTTCCACTTGAGGGCCTCAGCTGCTCTCAACAGGTCCCAGCAGCCTGGTTTCGGTTCGTAGGCCTCAGTCAATGGGCCTCGGACAAAAAGAGCCTCGACGACCCACCTCGGCAGTGTGTGCCGCCTCGGCAGGAATGCCACCTGGATCGCCATGAGTGGGCCATTGTCCCAGGTAGGTTGGCCAGGTGTGACAACACGCAACAATAGTCCCCCAAGTCCAAGTATATTCATTTATGTAATGCGTGGACTTTAATGGAGTAAAGATTGAAAGAATTTTTGTTGAACCCCAAATAATAGTCCCCCAAATCCAAGTATAGATATTTATATCATGGTTGGAGTTAGAGAAGTGTTGCTGTGGGTGAGCGATGAAGTAGGCAAGGTGTTGAACTTTTGAAGATGAAGCCGAAGTGGTTGAGGAACCGAACCTGCGAGGCTCGTTGCTGAATGATGAAGAGGAAGCCGAGGTGGTTGAGGGAACCGAACCTTCGAGGCTGGTTGCTGAATGATGAAGAGGAAGCCGAGGTGGTTGAGGAACCGAACCTGCAAGGCTCATTGCTGAATGTAGAGATGAAGCCGAGGTGGGTTGAGGAACCGAACCTTCGAGGCTCGTTGCTGAATGATGAAGAGGAAGTCGAGGTGGTTGAGGAACCGAACCTGCGAGGCTTGTTGCTGAATGTAGAGATGAAGCCAAGGTGGGTTGAGGAACCGAACCTGCGAGGCTTGTTGCTGAATGATGAAGAGGAAGCCGAAGTGGTTGAGGAACTGAACCTGCAAGGCTTGTTGCTGAATGTAGAGATGAAGCCGAGGTCCAATGGTAATGATTGTGCCTTGATAGCTGAGCCAATGATTTGATGTCTTGTGTTTGTTTTTGAGGAAAAGTGGTGAAGCGTTACGACTTCCAAGGCGCCTGCTGCCGTCATATTAAAAACGCAATTATGAGGGGAGCTGGCGCTTCTAGAAGCAGACGCACTGGAAGAGGTGCGTGGGAGGTACGCATGAATCTGAGGCATAGGATTGAAAAAACCTTTGAATTCAACGCCTCGGATTGGATCTGAAATTGAGGGCTCAGATTGAGTGAGATTCGATCTAACGGTCGGGGCTCGTCCTGGACCTCTATAAAAGGTGAGGAAATCCCATTTTTCAAGATTTTCGAACACTTGCACTCTGATATTCTCTTAAATCTTCAAATTTTTCCGGCGTCGAGGTTGACTGTAATTTCAATTTCCGGTCAATCTCCATTTGTGTCGAATTCCCTTAGGTATTTTTTGCATCTTACTGTCTTTTTGCTGAAAAAATGGAGTCTACTTCGGGTAGGGAGCTAGTGACAGTGGCGTCTTTAGACTATGGGGTCGGTCAGATGGGGGAGCCCGAGGTGGATAGGTATGCCATGGCCGAGGAGCTTGTAGATTATACCCAAGAGTGGGGGGCGTCTAGGGTACCTTCGAACATAACATGGAAGAGGTTGGGGGAACTTAGGGAGAGGTACAGTGTACCCCACTCCATAGAAATGTTAGTCCCCGAGCCGAACGAGCGGGCCTGCTATCCGAGGCTCGGCTGCGTGGCTATCAATGAATACCTGTTCAAGGCAGGTATGTGTCTACCTCTGCACCCCTTCTTCAAGGCGGTGCTTAGGAACTTCATGTTGTTGCCGACCCAGGTTCTGCCGAATGGGTGGAGCCAGCTGGTCGACTCGTACTTCCTATGGAAGGAAGTGTCACTTGGGGAGGACATGTCTCTCCATGTATTTATGACCCTGTTCCAGCCTCGGGTGATTGGGAAGGAGTCTAGGGGGTGGTACTACCTCACGCCTTGGGGGGCTCATGTACCTTTTGTGGTGGGACTTCCTTCCTCTATCAAGGGGTGGAAGGAGTCATAGTTCTGGGTGCGAGGTAAGTGGCAAGCAGTGGAGGGGGACAAAGCCCTTACTTGCACCGTGCCGACCCAGTACTACGAAGCTCGTGAGTCTCCCAGACCCTACTTGTTTTTTGAAGCCAAGGTTTGAATTTGTCTAACTGTTGGGACTTCCTTTGCAGATAGTAGTACGAGGTTCGAGCTCAGCCGCGAGGAGTTCGAGGTAATAGAGGACATCTACAGGAGGCCTCTGAAGCTTCGCCACTTCGACNNNNACCTAATGTATTGTGCAGATAAATTCAAGAAGAGGGAGTACCCAGCTCCAGATATGGCTTCCATTTTGAAGGCCACTTTTACTGTGAAGGCGAGGCCTCTGAAGTCGGGCTCCAGTGGGGCGAAGGAAGTCCGAGGCAGGGTTGAACGCCTGTCCAAGGACTGTACTCCGCGGGCCTCGGAGGAGGCAGCACCTTAGAGGCAGGAGAAGCCGAAGGAGCCTCGGGGGAAGGAAAAGGTCCCTGAGGAGACAAAAAAGAGGAAGCTGGTGCATATCTCCAGCTCGGCTGGGAAATTCGGGACCTCTGTGTCCCACGAGGCAAAGCAAACTGGTGAGCCGAAGTTGCTTGCAACCGCCTCAAAGGCCATCAAAATTGAGATGGTTAGAGTGGCAGAGGTCGAGGAGGGTAGAGCAGAGGCTGCGAGGCACGCTTCGGAGGCTGCGAAGCAAAAGCCGGTCTGCGAGAAGGGGAAGTCTCCGAGCTTCTTAGCTGGGAGGGAGGAGGCACTGGCCCCGGCCTTGGTGGAGGCTCTCCCTAAAGAGATCCGAAGCGCCACTGAGAACTTCTACAAGTTCTGGACAGAGAGGTGGCAGCTGCATGCCTCCGCTTGCGATGCTACTGATTTGACGAGGGTATTAGTGAGCCAGAGCGTCAGGACTTTTAGCCTCGCGCTTGAATGCAGGGAGGCCCTTAGTGAATTTCAAACAAGGACCCAGGCTTCGGAGGGAAAGATGGCCTCCCTCGCAGAGGAGCTGAAAGCTGCTAAGGCCAAAGCTGAGGAAGCAAAGGCCCAAAAAGTTGAAGAATCGACGAAACTTGAGTCTGCACTGGCCCAGATCGAGGCCTTAAAAAAGGAAGTATATGAGTCACAGTGCGAGGTGGCCTCGTTAACAAAGAAGGTGGAGGTCTCCAATGAGCACCAAAAGGTGACTGCTGAGGCCCTAGAGAAGGCAAACCTCTCCTTGACAGGTGCTCAAGACGCTTATAAGTATCTGGAGGGCCAAATAAAATGGTATGTGGACGATGCCTCTTATGCAAGGGAAGAGGCCCGAACTGCAGGGGAGGAGGCGGTGAAGGAATACATCGCCAACTTCCATACAACTGAGGAATATAAGAGCTTCAGTGCATAATGGAGGAACTTCGCCTA